TGCTCTCAACTGTAACCAATAAATCTAAACATATATTTAATCTACATACTCTACCACACTGTTTTTAGGAGAACACAGGAGTTCAAACAGCTGTATGAATAGGCAATAAACCAGAATCCTTTTGGAAACAAATCATTTTTCCTTTTCTTAAGAATTACTACATGCTGTCAAGATAGATGAAGAAGTAGGGGATCAATATAAGGTATTAATCTCTTCAGAATTACAATTATACATAGTCCTTTAAGCACATGCCTAGAGCTAGTGAATTATTGCATTTGAAGTCAAACTGCAGATTAAACTTGGAGCATGTAAGGGAGGCAGCCAAAGAGAGGGAGAGAGATGAATCTGTATAAGGGGGAGGGGAGTGACATTTTGATTTGACACATTTGAATCTTTATATTACTGTTCTGCCAGTAAAGAACCTCTCTGGAGGTGTATGAAAGATTTTGCACTTAAAACTAAACTGGCAAAATAATCTTCTTTGCTGTGTAGATTAATGCTAGGAAATTTTCCTTTGTCTAGGGCAGTTCTGATTCTCTCTGCATACATTAAAAACATCATTTGATTTTTCTTATCTTCCACAGGTTTGGGTTCCTAAATGCGCTAGTCACTCTGTGAGAGAGAAAAAGAGTCACAGGTTTGTACCTCATTTTTTCTCTGATTGAAGTATCCTCCACACTTGTCACAGCCTCCAAACAGAAGATGCAGAGAGGAAGAGGAGAATTCAGGTACATGAAAATAAAATAAATCAAGGTTCCAAAGACACATGTGGCAACAAACTATTATTTAAAATACTTGGTTTCTCGTGGCTTTATTTCATCCATACCCAGACTCATGTTCTCCTCCCAATCTATATATCTACTTATCATTATCTTGGGGACATTTTAATTATACACTATGCCAAGTCTTGGGTCCTTTCCTGTCATAATTTGCTCTTTCATTACCCCTCAAATACCATATTTAAACATCCCTACTTTCATTGGGCACCGGTTCCTGCCTTAAAATATTTTATGATTATCCATTGATAATATTCCTATTGCTTCAGCAATAAAATTTAAAATTAACCTTCCTTCCACTCCCTACTTGCTAAGTTTCCTGGTTGTGGATGTAATTGTGAAGGCAAGTGATGAGTGTCCTCCAGCTAGACATTGAAAAAGGCGAGAAAAACCCCAAAACTTAAGGCCTCTCTTACTCTCTGAACTCTTTTGACTTCGCCACTCGCTCTTCTACAATTTGAGCATATGTATCTGAGGAACCAGAAGAGAAGCTGAAAAAGAATCAGATTACAGAAAGTATTTTTTGGATCAAGAAACAACAGTCTGTTTGCAGAACTAGTTACTGCTGTGAAGAATATAAAACACAGCTACTGGGAGATTTACTACTTTAAAGACAAGTTGCAAGCCAACACAAGGTTAAATCCCTTTTATCTCTGCTTCCCTTTTCTTAGAAATTTTTCATTATAGGTCTGTACAAACATCAATTTCTTGGTATTGTGAAATGCAAGTCAGAGTCTCTTTAAATTCTCAAGTCCTGATGGCTTGCAGCAGCAACTGAAAAATACTCTGAGCAGGTATTTTCACTTATCTACTTACAATATACTGTCTCTCATTTTCCTTGCATTTGCAATCTTCCTCCCTGAAGCAGGAGGAAAGTTACTTAATATTGTTTAAAGCATATGAGGAATCTAAATATTTTTCCCCAGGTGCGTATTTTCTGTGCTTCAAAAGCATTGAACCGAGTGATGGTTTCTGTGAGCTCAGTGTGAGGTCTCCCTGGAGTTCCTCACGGTCCACCCTGCTCTACCATAACCCCCATAATTTTCTACCTGCTTAGTTTGCTACTCCATAACTATGTCAGAAAAACTTGGTCTAGGGGCAGGATTTTGAGGCACTCTCTGTTTTCCTGCAGCAGAAACTGACAGTTTAATTCTAGTCTTTCTCTTCTGTCTCTTAGATACTTTTGATCCCCAGCAATACTTTAGTTCACAAATATTTACTTTCCTTACTAATTTCCTGTGCAGGACCTTGTCAGAGGACTGAATAAGCTGCCTGCTATCTATTGCTTTGGTGACACTCACTGAATTTTAGCATATCAGTGAGACTCTTCAGAAAACTCAGCAGGCTAGACTTTATCACATCATGGTCTTCAGGTGTTTGTTGTTTTGCTTTCCCGATATAGATGCAATGTTTATTCATCTGTAACTTCTTGGATCACTCATGAAGCCTTTTTAATTAGAGATATAAAATTTACCACCCTCTAAATTACTGATATAGTAGACATTTTTAATTAAAGCCTATGCACTTTGTTAGCAGCTCCTCGTGACAAACTTAAGCTTCTTCCGAATTCTGTGATGTATCTATCATTTAGGCCTGTTGACTTGAAGCTTTTCAATTATCAGTTTCTTTCAGCATCTTTCAGCTCAATCACCAAGAGCTCGTCATTCTTATTGACAGGCAAAGCAATCCCGACAGAAAATGCCACTCATTCTCTACAGCAGAAACCAATGCAAAGAAACTGTGTTAGAACTACCTGCACCTTCTTTATTTGCTCTGTGGAGATAACCAGCAACTGTGAATTTGCAGTTTCACACAGGTCCATAGACTGAAATCAGGCCTAGAATGTCCATTCACCTTGGGTCTTTTCTCTAGTGATGTCCACACAAAGTATAGGCTGGTTAGAACAGTCCCTTTTTAACCTCTCTAGTCTGTAAGTCTGTAACCTCAGTGTAAGGGCTTCTCCCATACTTTTCCTTGTTCCTTCCAGCTGAACTTTAAAATTAGCAGTAGTGCATAAATTGCCAAAGTTTCCAATGCATTCTTTGATAAAAACTATACATATTTACCTAAAGCATGATTTCTCTTACATGTTCTGTTATATATATATAATAGAAAAATGCAGCATGAACATAAAATTTGTTTTAAACATATTTCAGAGGAAGAAAAAGTATATCAAATTAAAATTCTGCCAGCCATAAATAAATAAATAATTCTTTTTTTCATGAGAGAAAGACGGAATTCTCTAGTTACATTAATGTAACTTAATAACCGACCCAAGAGGAACTGAGCTCTCAAAAGATTTAAAAAATATATAAAAAAATCCCTCTACCAGACTTTTAAATCTCAGATCCGAAATAAAGAGTCTGATTGTTAATTTTAAGACCAAGAGCTCCCATTAAACTCTTCCCAGAAGGCAAGAAGGATTGGTCTACTGTTAATATTTACAGGAAAGTAAAAGACCTATTAGTATATTGTCTAATAATGTGTAGCAGAAACTCATGATGGAATGTCACCATCTGTGTCTGTGCTTAAAATGGAGCTTACTTTTAAAGATGTGATTTAAATTATTCTTTACTGATTAAAGTACCAGAATGCCAAAGTGATGACAAGCTTTTCCCTGTCTTCTTAAAATTATGACAGTCTTTTTCATTTTTCCCCATCCTCTAGAAGTTCATGGGAAGTAAATTTTCAAAGTAGTGACATTAATGGGACTCATGCAGTTAAGTCCCTGAGCATCACTTTGAAAATTTACTTGCTAGTGTACTAATCAAAATTTAGGTCCTTGAATATTTATTATCCTCTATGGGATATCATAAATGTATCTCTTGTTTAAATAAATAGGAAGAAAATCTGCCATGTATGTGTAGTTTACTGTCATTCATATAATTGCAATCGAACTGCATTGTCCAACAATATCAGACTAATCTCCATTGTTCCATTTGCTGTTTGACCCTATCCTCCTTGAAAATTACACATTTTCAGTTGGATTTCACTTCCAGAGTTTAATCTCTCACTTAAAAGGACACTGAGATAAAGACAAGAGCACAGGGAAGGAAAGCATTTTAATTGGAAAAGTGTATTTGAGATGCTGAAAGCTTTCGGTTTCCTAGGAGCTGCACAGCTACTCTTTTGTTGGCCTTGAAAATTTCCATCAGCTACTTGCTGGCAAGGGTCCTCTTGGGGTGGCTGCTGAAGGTGGGAAGGGAGGGACAGGGGTGGTGGTGTGAGACTGTGGTGGAGGATTGATTTAATTCTAAAATATAGCACAGACAGCTACAAAGCTGTGATTACTTCTGGACCTACTTAATGTCCAGAGCTCTAGACGGGCCCTAATAAATAATCATAAACAGCTTCTCCAGCAGGACTACTACAGTATCTTCCTGGGGCTGAGTATTAATCAAACACTATGAGAAAAGAAAATTCAGATTCACTCTGACATGATTTATCCACACTGTCCTCTGCTGTCCCTTACACATGCCACATCTTTGTAAACAACCTCAATCTCTTGCCTTGTGGTACCTGTCTGCTGGGACAGGGGCCCTGCCCCATCCATACGTGAGAGAGGAAGGTGTTTGAAGGGCTGTATTCTGGGGATATATCCCCAGCACTCCTTTGTAGGCAATTCTTAGTCTGTGTCTCAGGTGCCTGCTATTTCTTCTGTTCACCTCTCCAAGTACAGTGAGAAGATTGTCTCTTTTGCTAAACCAGCTCCTGCTGCCCTAGAAATAGTAAGTCAGGGTGTTTCTAAATCAATGAGATCACGTAGACAGTTACAAGTTGTCATGTCTTCTTCTTGTCCTAATTAGTTATCTATTGCTTTTATGTCTGAAAGACTTTTAGAACAACATAGTCCTTGGAGAATGAAATGTTTTTATAAAATGTTACCAGCTGAATAGTGGCACCAAAGTAGAGCAATGACAGAGCATTTGTTCATCTAAGGATTCAGCAGAGGAGGGACCATGAGCATAGCGAGCTATGGCAGCTTGACAGCTTGAATTGTGACACCAGCAGAGTTTAAGTCTTCATCATCTTTATCCTTTGAGAACATAATTAGATCCACCTATTAAAATTATATCTAATAAAATCAAAGTTTTCATGCTAATTATGTAAAAGAATGAAGAAATAGCATATGACTAAGCAGCATTGATTTTGGGCTTATTACTGAATGACTTATCTCCCCAGAAAACTGTCATTTTAACAATGCTTAAGTGCATTACTACTGATATAGAAAGGACCTTGCAGGGAAGAAGTGAGAAGCAGAATCTGGGGAGCACAGCTGGTAAGTTCTCTCTTAAAATATTAAACTAACAGCTGATTTTTTTTTAAATTCTTTTTTCTAAAAAGAGACCCAAATCAAGATCACAGTCCTGGATCCATTCATTAGTGTTTGTCCAATTTATACAACTTTACTGTAGACTAGTTCTTTTAAAAACTACATATCTCTCTCTCAAGGTATGCATCTGTGCTTGTATATTTGATTTTATTTAAAGTTTGTTTTTTTCTTGTTTTTGGTAAAAATTGTCATAACTTGGATATGTTTTACAGCCTCAAGATTGTTGAAGAAGTTTGTATTTCAAAAGTATAATAGTTCTTGTAATAATTTCCTGTTATTCCTGTAGGGAGTTGAAAATATAGTAATCTGATTTCATATTTATCTTTAAATACCCAACATGTATCTATTATGTGTTAGCTAAAATGAAGCAAATGTTCTGTATATGTGTGTATGTGAAAAAAGAAAGATAAACAGAAAGAAAAAACTCTAATATGTGTTGTAGTTCCCCTTTCTTTGTCACAAAAGCAAAAATGGCAAAAATAGGAGCATTGTTGCTATGCATCTCATGGTCCTTGCTCATGTCCCCATGGTAACTAGCAGAAGTCATTTGCATTCTACAGAAGTATCAGGGAGATGCATGTGTGCAGCAGTTCAGAGGACTAGATGGTCCAAAGGACATGATAAACATGGCCAGCTTTGGAAAGGACTCTGAAAGGTTACCCTCAGGAAGTTAATAAAAGTCCTGTTAGTATCTAAACCTCACCAAAACAACATTTTTATTTTAAAGGTAATTTGAACCTGCAGTAGGGGGCAAAGCCCTGAAAGTTTGTGGTGGTCTAACATACAGTTCATGATACAGATCCTCAAATGTTATCAGTAAGTAAACCTCTTCTGAAAGCAGAGAAGCTATTTTTTTTTCAACTTTAGGTTTGGTTTTCATTTTTACTGCATTAAAAAGTTCAGTGTTGCCTTTCACTATTGTATACCTGTTCTCCTCCTCTCAAAAATGTCCTCCTCTTTGTCTTATATTTTGTTTTTCCTTACTGCTAGGACTTGTGACCCCACAGGGGACCCACATTGGATCAGTCTGTTCCTGAAGGACTGCACCCCATGGAAGGGACTCACGCTGGAGCAGCTTGTGAGGAACTGCGGCCAGCGCGAAGGACTCATGTTGGAGAAGTTGGTGAAGGACTGTCTCCTGTGGGAGGGACCCTATGCTGGAGCAGAGGAAGAGTGTGAGGAGTCCTCCCACTGAGGAGGAAGGAGCAGCAAAGACCATGTGTGATAAACTGACCTCAGACCCCATTGCCTGTCTCCCTGCACTGCTGAGGGGAAGGAGGCAGAGAGTTCAGGAGTGAAGATGAGTCCAGGGAGAAGAGAGCAATGTGGGGAAGATGGTTTTAAGATTTCATTTTTTGTCTCATTATCCTACTCTGATTTGATTGATAATAAATTAAATTAATTTGCCTGAGTCAAGTCTCTTTTTCCCATGTTGGTAACTGGTAAGTGATCTCTCCCTGCCCTTATCTTGACCCACAAGTCTTTCAGTTTATTTTCTCTCCCATGCCCAGCTGAGGAGGGAAGTGACAGAGCACCTTTGTGGGCACCTGGCATCCAGTCAAGGTCAATCCACCACAATATGCAATGACATCTCTTAGCAGTCCCACTTGGAAAAAAAATCAGATGAAGTGCAAGGAAAATTAAAAAAAGCAAGTAACAAAAAAGTACTAAGATGAAAAAAACAATTCTACATGTTGAGGAATTCTGACCTATATTTCACATGTTTTGTATGCAGTAGCTTAGATGAATACTGAGACAAGACTGAATGTTTTATGTTTCTTCTACTTTTTTTCATTCTGCTTTCTTCTCTCTTGACTATTCTTAATGCTGAAATTCCAATTTCTTTTCTCCTTAAGGTCTTCAGGTCTAACTTCCTATTAGCCTTTAATGATGTTTCTTTCAGAAAATCCCGCAAGAGTTTCTATCTCCTGCTTTTCAAAATGTGAATTTTTGAATCTAGCATGCTCCAAAGTATTTCAGTCAATGTTCGTTGTGGAGTGTCTGTTAACACTGAATTATTGTTTTTAAGTGCATGTATATGCATACACACATATATATATACACATATCTCCCTCTTTCATGTATTTTTATGCACAACCTCACACACAGGTACATATTCATACCCACAACTGGGACATACTCTAGTTCTGCCACTGGTATGACACTGTGAGGGTACAAGGCAAGTGGAGGTTTCTGCAAAGTGAGGAAGTGGCCTTTTGCAGGCCTCCACCCCTGGCCATATGGATGGCGAAGGGTGAAAAGGCTGTTCTGGGACTCTGGAGTCCTCTCCAGTGCTGCCAGGTATCACAGGAGGCTGGCATGTACTTTGGCCATGTTTAATTCATGTTTTTATATCCTACCACAATACACATAAAGATTTGTAAGCAGATGTCAATATAAGTGCCATGCACACCAAGATGAACCCACCCAGCTGTGTCAGGAGCTGTGTTCATGCACTTTTCTGCCTTAACCCTGGAATTTGCTAGATACTTGAATGTTGCAAGGCCTGGCTTTACTGATGCATCACTTCAGTCCTTGATCCCTCTCCAACAAGTGGCCACAAGAGTGGTAACTACTGCTGGTGATTCATCCCAGGTGATCATGTGAATTATCATTATAGAAAACCTCCTCCATAAAAGAAACTCAGATGAGAAAGGGAACAAGCTGATGCTGTAATGCTTTCACATGAGGAATTAACCTTATAGCCCACAAATACCTATATATTTGCCTTATAAAGTCTGAGGCCACATGCACAAAAGTCAAGTTATGATCATATGACAAATACACCAAACACAGCAGTTCTTTTCAATATAGTAATATTTGATCATCTGAAATATTCATATAATAGGGATTAAGAAAGAGAGAAATAATTTTTGTAGTCTTTCTCAGGATTAGCCATGCCTTAGCATACTGAGCTACCTAAGTTCAGCAAAGTGAACTTATTATTCAGGCCCACTTCCTTGGTTTTGAGTTTGCTAGAAAAACCAAGTCACTGAACTGTACGTAGAAACTTTGCAGAACTGGGCTGTATCCTGAGCTGCTTTCTTGCAGAGTTTGGAAGAAGCATTTTTCTATCTAGTTTCACACCTGAGTTCACACTGTATGAGATCAAATCAACTTAGGCTAATATATTTGGAGACTTGTCTGCCTGTAGTTTTCTCTGTGAACTAGAGTGAACCACATTGCTCTGTACAGACATGAGGCAAAAACATTATAAAAACAATGTATCTGATTTATCACCCTACATTTCTGATTTTGCATGTGTTGGTGTGAAGAAAGAAAATAATGCATTTTTTGATGGATCAAAACCTCCCACAGTATTGGAATTATAGTTCTAAATTTTGTGTTATAGAAAACACTTATTTCTGCTACCTGTGGTTTATTGCCAGTTAAGGTATCCTCAATATGCACTTGAAGTAAACTAAAAACCACAGTAGGGTAAATGAAATGGTCATAGCCTAGGAAATAAGGGTACATGTCTTGGAGTGTGTCCTTGGACAAGAAAACATGTAGATAATGCAGAGATACTATGAGATTTCATTAGCTAATGTTTACACAGTGCTTTGAACTAATGAAGCATTACAGTGCAAAGCATTGCTTTCAGCCACGGCACTTCAAGGATGTAGAAAGGATCAAATATCCTTTTCACTTACACATTTAAGAGGACATCTGATTTTGTTTAGAAGTTCTAACATCCTTTTGGTTTTTTATTTCACTTCAAGGTTGCTTCTTACCTCTTACTGACTACTTACTTTAAATTCTTTTTTCTGTGTCCTCATCTCTGTTATAAAAATTGATTCAAGGTTTGTGTGCAGCTGCTTAACTGGATGCTTGGAGAAGAAAATAATTCATCCTTAAAAGGAAGGTTCCTTATTTCAAGAATAATGTATACTGCAAGAATATCCTTGTCCAATATTCAGTTTCTATTTCTATAGTGGGATAGGCTTGGTTAGCATTATCTTGAGTCTACTATGTCATAGCACAGTAAAATTCAAAGGATTTATATCTTAGGAAACATACAGTTATATGTAGGCAGTTTTACATCACTTACTGTTTGTAATCAATGTTTGGTTTAAAAAGGAACCTGCAAATGCCATTTGCGGTAGGTCATTTGTTTTTAGAGCCTGTATTTCAATAATTTAATTTTTTTTTCTTTTTGAAAGCAATTAGTAAAATTTGTGAAAGGCAGAGAGTTTTTTATTTCCCAAATGATCCTCTACTCTCATCAAAGAGTGTGTTCTAGCAAGTAATTTTGTCCAAGATGAAAGGATAAAGTTTCATCGCATTGTACAGAACTAGCATAGTGAAATTTGCTTGCTGCAAGAATGAGATTTGACTTTGTTGGTTTTATTTATTTCTGTTTACTCAAAGTTTGCTATAGAGAGGCTAAAAAACTTAAATGTTGTGGAACAATTTTGTTTCGCAGTGGTTCAGGAATGTTTTGTGCAGGTGTTTTCAGGGGTTTGAATCATACCTAAACCCAATTTCACCAGTAGCATAAAGTCAGTGAGATCATAATCGTTTTTCCAAATTGGTCATAAATAATTTGATACAGTTATGAACAGTTTAAGCAGATTTCCAAACATTCAGCTTAATGAATCATTCCTAACCCTGAATTGTCAACAATAATTTTTCCATTTTTTGTCTTATTGCACTTTTTCCTATTTCTCAGTATCTTCATGAAGATAAATTACTTGCTACTACTACTATGCTATTGGTGTCCTGGCACTACTTCAAGAAATTATGAGGACAGATGACACATCTCAAATCAGCACTAAAATGAAAGAGATACAAACTCCCGTGGTTGAAAAGGCGGGGGAATTGTGGGATCTCTGGAAGTATAATGGTCTGGAAGAAAATACAGGGACAGAAAATTCCAGGACAAGTCTTCTGAATGCACAGGATGCTGAAGGGCCAAAATGAAATAAGAGTCAAAATCAGATAATCTAAAAACACAAAATCAGGAAAAGGACAGGTTTTCTTTTGCCCCTTTCTAAGCAAGGAGCTGTGAGTATAAGGAAATCCAGCAGCCATGCCACTGAATACCCTTTGGACAGATTCTGAGGCAGCACAGCTGTATCTCAGTGACCATCTTTCCTGGAGTTCTGGCAGCAGGAACAATTTTAACTATACTAAGTTTGGTTACACAGAACGTCCTCTATGGAAAAAGGCTGCTGTAAGAAAGCCAGCCTAGTATTAAAGTTTGTTCTGTAAGAAGAAGGAAAACCCATCCCTGACCGCCGTGTTACTTCGGAGAAAGTTTGTATCATTACATAGAACCAACTGTATGTGTATTTGTCCTACTCCAATGATGCATTTCATGTCAGCATATAAGAAAAAAATCTCTGTCAGCTTTTGCAAAATACATGCCTTTAACTTCTAGGAAGCATTCCTTATCTTTGCTGTGGAACACTAATTATTTCAGTAGAAAGCAGTGCCATGGCTTTGGGAGTTACACAGCAGAACAGCCGTGCCCACTGAGGAGAGCAGTGAGTGCTAAAAACATATTTTAAAAGTCTCCACAAAGACTAGCACTGGACATTAATAGACCATTTTCCCCCACTGTCTGCATTGTTTTGATAGTTCCTAAAACAACAGCTGCCTCAACATGCTAACATGTTATTTTTGTGTTGATAAGCTTATGCTGCTACAGTACTTCTTACTGCAGAACATGGAGTTCACACTTGTCCCTTGTGCTGTGTGTAGCAGAACCTATTTGGTGGTTTAATAACTATGGTCAGACCATATTATTCTCATTTCATATGAGTTGTGACTATGAAACTGCACACACTTAAACATTCAAAATAATGGAAGATTTGCTTTGGAAACATAAAAGGAAGCAGGAGGAAGAAAAAGGAACTTTCTTGTACATCTCACCAAGTTTCTGTGTGGTGTGCTGAGAAACATAATTGGGCTTTATAATTGTTTCAAAAACATTAACGTACTTAGGTGTCTAGCACTCTAGAAAATCCACTTCAGAGATTAAAAATGTGAGACATGGAAGTCTCAGACTTTGAAAAGATGGTAAATGTGAGTTTTGGAAGTGTTTTCTTTGTCATGTTCGACTGGGCTTGGCTTGATACGAAGACACTGAAATATTTTCCCAAAGAAAAGAACAGGAATTAATCTTTACTCTACCCAAAGATGTAGGTCTTCACAAACAAGTTTTGAGAGTTAATATATCTGAAGGTTGAAAAAAAACACAAAAAAATCCTCCTTGCTTGTACCATCTGAAGTTTAATGACTTCTAAAGCCTTATACAGGGGATTAAGCCGTGTACAGGAGTATGGGAGTTTTCCCATGTATAGTCAGAGGCTCTCCGGTCTCAGTTGTTGCACAGTTTTATGAACACTGTGTATTCAACACTTTATTTCCATATCTAAAATTTTAATTGCAAATAGGAGTCCCATG